AAGCTCCTACTACTCCAGAGCTGATAAGCAAGTGTTACTTGAAATACACTAATTGCAGATGACATATAACGACGTATTTTTCACTTTGCTATCGTTCTGCCATGTGATTTAATCCCTTTTGCCATCTGCTTTAAACAAATGTCAGTGTTATTCCCAAGAGGGAAAAAATACTTCCCCTATGATTCACTTCCACCAAGTGTCCCACAGACACTGATGTCTTATGGCAGAGCAGGAAACTCCATGTCCCGTGTAGGAAGAGCAGGCAAACTTGCTGTTACCAGTTGCAGAGCTAAGGAAGATCCCACTCGTTCTACTAAATCAAGGTTATTTTGAACCTGTAAGATACAATGCCTAATGTTTCCATCTCATTTTATTTTTACTACCATCTGTGTTGAGCACTGCACGAACTCTGCACACACCTACACAGTCACCCATACTAACAGCAGAAAGAAGATACCAGTCACAGAATGGACAATCTCCCAAGCTGGAATTAAATGGGTGTTCTCAATTTGACATCTAATCAATTAAAAAGATCAAGCTGAAGGTAGCTTAAAACTTCAGATCTGCCCATTATCACGTTATCCTATGTTTTTAAGCAATTTCTCTCCTTTCTCAGGTAAAACAGCAAAAGGGAGAATTCATTTATTTTGCCAGGTGAATAGTAAAAATGGTAACATTGGCACTACTGAAAAAAAAGTGCTGTGAAACACAATGGGTAAATACACCCAAAATATGTGCAGAAGCATCTTTGCATACTGTTCTGCAGGTGATAAGGGGTCTGCAGCTGGCTACAAGGATGTAAGGATGCTATTTCAAACAGGGGACATGTTAAACGTATAACGTATTGGGTATAACTATGTTTTTGTTCAGAAGACAAGTGAGTCAGATGTATTCAAAAGGAGTTTATACAGCATTAATATTAAAAGAAAAAAAAAAAAAAAAAAAAGAAAAGAAAATTGGCAATGGTCAAATATGCCAAGCTGCAATGACCTTTTTGTACCTGTTACTCATTATTTAACAGGTTCCAACTGATGAAAGACACTTTATTCAACAAAGCCCTCAATACAGGATCCCATTAACCACCTCCAGCGCTGGCAGCAATAACTGTGTTTATTTGAATAAGGCCCTAACTTGCTGAGACTTAAGCACTTGCCAAAATCCTTTGCTGAGTTGGAACCATGGGGAACCAGCTTATGCATTTTCAGATGGCTTTTAATTCTCCATAGTCCAAAGCATATTCCACATGATTTTTATCACACTTGCTTTACATTCTACAGCTCTTCTGATATACAAGAGATTTGTCTTACATAAATGCAACGAGAAAAAAGCCTGGCTCATATGCTGCCTTTCTCAGCTCCCCTGATGCAAACATATGCAGAGAGTTTCATATAGTATCATTAGGTCCAGTGCTAAGGCTGCTCAGAAATAATGTGCTCTTCTAGACCTTATATTAAACATTATCAATAGGAAACTAAACCAAATGAATCTGATCTACAGTTTTTAGAACAAGGTAACAGAACAACTAGCATTTATCTGCCTCCAGGAACAGAAAATGTTATGAAAATAACATAAAAAAAAATGAAATGCTACATGTTGTTTCCTTTTTTTCTATCATGAATTGTGATTCTGTGATTCTGTGATTCTGTGAAATAAGTATTTTATATCTCTAAGAACCACACTATGTAATGAAAATGACTCTGAATAGATTCCTTTGCCAAAATCAAACTATCTCACTTGCTAATATGCATATATTCACAGATTTCCATCCTTAAAAAAAAAAGACAGAACCAAATAGAGCCCTACTTTTTTCTCTGCTTTCACATTTAGCTGTCTACAGAGATCAGATTTTTTGATATGTTCCCAGTCCAAATTTAAACTGCATTTTTCATTAAAACAAGTGCAAGGATCCTTCATGCTAACATTACAACTGTTTGAAAAAAAATCTCACAACCAAGTTTCAGTGCAGTTTTCCAGATCTATCACCATTTCTATAGCTACAACATCTGAATAACAAAAACAAAAGGCAGCAGGCATTGCAACGCTGTTCACTTCAAAGCTTAAAAGAATTAAAATTGCATGGATTCCTAAAATCAAAGAGGTGAATCCACAGGTAAATCCTTAGGCATCAGTCTGGCTAGTTAACCTGACATGTCAATTAAATGCAAGATGTAATTTATTCAATTCTCAGTCTAGTCTGACACAAAACCTATATTTCCCCTGATTCCTAATTAGCTAAAGTAGTTGTCTTCTTTCATGCAGATAATTTCATAACCATTAGTGTAAAGCATTAACACATTTTTCTTTCAATCATATTTTCCTCCCGTTGACTGACACACCTTCTCTAGTGAGTGTACTTGTGCCAGTTTCTGCTTTGTGGGAAATTGCCCCAAGGTCTTTAGCAAAGTTCCCTCCCATACACATAAAATGATGATATATAATCATGATGCTTGCTGTGTGAAGAGACATATGTCTTACTTAGAAAATATGAATGGAAAATTATGCACTGGAGGAATGTAGCTATTTCCATTTTGGTATATTTATGAATTTGTATACTACTTAATATACAGTAGAATGCAGCATGATTAACTCCTTGGCAACAGGAACAGGTAGTGTTTTTAGTTAATAAATTATTTTTAGTTAATAAATAATTTAAGGGGGTTTTGTGTGGTTTTTTGTTGGACAGGTTCGACTTCTTATAGTATGCCTAATAATTCAAGGAAAATTAATCAAAGTCAAGAAATTCCCTGCATGAATACCATGCACAAAACTTAGCATATGCAAGATTTGGTCATGTACAAGATATGCACATTTCTGTTATGTGTTTTGTTATTCTATTTTGACTTATTTAGGAGTAATTTTACAAATCGCATTATGGAACTTCACACCCAGAGCTCACTGAAAAATGCTGAAAGATGTCATGAAACTTTTGTCAACATAAGAACATGAAAAGCTTCAGCTTCCTCTCAGCCTCTTCCTGGTATGTCTTTCATTGCATCCCTAACAGCTTTCCTTCACAGTGTCCACAACTGTCCTTATTCTGCAGAGGAATCAGGAAAGAGAAGGCACAAAGTCAGAAATGTTCTTTGCCTCTGCTAAAGTCTCTGGGGAAAAAATATGCCCACAAAAACACCACCACAGTGGAACCTGCTTCCTTGTCTGAAACATTCACACTGTCCTGCCTGATTCCTGTTGCTTAAGAACAACTGACTGGCTTCACTTCCACGTGTGGGGCCATTTGCTGGAAGAGGGTCTCCCCAGATGCTATCTGTCTTTTTGGGGAAGTTCTCCTCATTCCCTACTCCCTAAAACTTGGCCTAATTTTTGAGATTTCAAAAATTGAGAGATTTCGAGATTTCAACCATCCTGTTGCTCTAGCTCCGGGCACGGTTTGCAGCCAGGGTTGCTCCGGGGCCTAGGCCGAAGCAGAGGCCCCGACAGCAGCTGAACACAGCGCCGGCCGCTTGTCAGCCTCGTGTAGGTAAAGGGCATCTCCACATTCAGAAGCTCCAGCACCTTATCGCAGAATCAGCACCATTAAATCATGCAAGGCAGTTTAATTAAGCCAGGCTCTCTCATGTGGGCTCAGTACACAGTATCCTGGTTAGCTTGCATGTGAACCTTTGCCAGTGCAAGCTAATCCACTTTGCAGAGGTTGAAACCCACGTATGTGTTTCCTTTTCAAATTTGCACTGGCTTAGCTAGCCTGTTACTGAAGTGGCAGCTTCAGTCAAACCTGAACAGGTTTCACCAGACTGATTATTTAGGCATTTTTAGAAATATTAATCTCTTTTACTAATCAGCTTGGTTTGCTGATTGAGGTGATGAGACTAGCCTGCCCTACCTTTGATTATAAAATGCTATTTTGGCAATCTGTGTACTGGGAATTATGTTGCTCTAGTAAGACTGTAGTAGATGCCTATTTAGCATATTACCAAGACTATTAAGAAACTAGTTCTTTAATCAAGGACTTTTTTTTTATTTATTTATTTGAACTACAACTTCAATAGCTACTAGAAAGGCGGGAGCTTGGGCCTTGGAGTGCTGACTTCCCTTATGTGACAAGGATCCCAAAGGAAGTTGTATGTGACAACCTGGCCAGATCACTTGGGGTATTACACCAAAAGCGCAGGATAGTCCCCAATGGCTCTCAGATGTTGTGTATTTATATGCTGCTCTACATCTCTGACTGTAATGCAAGAATGAAGATACCAAGTAAGATCAAAACTAGCACTATGCAACATGAGAAAGAAAAGATAGATACTTTATAGAGCATAGTATCAGCATTTCTGTAAATTCCTTTCTTAGCATGTTTGTGAGGGATTTTCCAGTGCATTGTGCAGGGCTCAAATACAAGCCGCTTTCTACTCTGTTTGGTAGCCACAATCAAAAACCACAACAGACTCCACATCACTTTTGATATTCTGGCAAAATACAAAAACAAACAAACAAAAAAGGATAAGGCAGTAAGAGCTATTCTTGCAGTTGACTACTTATTGTTAAAAATATTATCCTTTAGAAGTGACGTCATTTTCTTTTCACAACAACAGACTTTTTCAAGGTACTCTCAGTTCATTCTCAATGAAGAGAATGGTCTTCAAGCACAGAATATCCCTTTTAGTGGTAAATGCAAAGCTATTCTAACTTGGAACTGTGAAGCAACACACATGTTTTAGAGCAGTCAGTAAAATGCAAATGTTAAGGCAAAACAACAAAAAAAGCAACAAACACACCAAAAAACATAAACCACTGGGAAAGGATCTGGAGAAAGTGGTATTCCGAAAACCTTTATGCAGACAGAGATGAGATATATTGCTGGTAAAAGCTTACTGTATTTTTGTTTTCTTCTATCTTTGACAAGCACAACAAAGGGGCATACAATTGTTTCAGAAAAATCTCCTGCTTCCACTGCTGCCAAGTTGCCTTGGTTGCTAGAACTAATCATTCGGAGAGGTGGCACACTGCCCATACTACCTGTTAAAATTATTTAAAGGATTAATTACCATTATTAAATGCATCCTTGTTGCTTTTGCAGGAGAAAGACACCTGCTGATAGGGACCAGAGGATTTCCAGAGTTCATTGGTCAGTGTTGGCTGACAGGAAGTGTCCATTTTGAGGTGCACCTGATTTTCACTAGTCCTTGCTGTATCAGAATTTGAGCTGTTCAGCCCATACACACCATCCTCATAAACTAGAGAAGAATCTGATCTGTTGAGACCGCTTAGAGACATATGTACTACAGCTTCATTTAAGTAGAAGGAATTTTCACCATGTAAGCTGTCTGAAGAATTACGTCCCATTATCTGCAGAAGAAAAAAAAAAATGCAAGAAAACAGCATTTTCAACTTTGTCCAGCTTCAGAAGAATCCTCCTACCAGGATAAGCTAAAATGCCAGAAAAAAAAAAATGAGGATTCATAATAGATTGCCACCTACATTCCAAGACAATAAGACTGACACTAAGGTTGTATACTCAGAAATAAAACCACCATAATCTAGAATATTTTACCTTAGCCTCTCTCGAAACACAGGAAACGTAGCCAAGGCAGCCAGGTAGCAAACAACAAAGGGCTGATACCAGAGCGGTAATGCTCTTATTCCCTTTCAAGGGTTGATGTTTTGCCCTGTAGTTCAGTTAGGGACCATTTCACACATGCAAGTCTGTGTACACTGCAATCCAAAAATAATACTGCACCTCATATAGACATGGGAATATAAGCAATAGGACTGCATCAGTCAAATCAGGGCTGGTAAACATCATTATGCAACTTGCACATGGCCCTTGAGGGCTGAGAATGCAACCCCTGCAAAGACTCCCCACATGCACATATTTATCAAGGTTATGCTCATGGAAAAGCAGGAGCAGAAGCCATCAGTGGCTGCAATACCTGTACTAGCTAGTGAACTTACAGCTCAGTGTAACTGAAAATATAGGCCTGGGAGTACTGACTGACTGGACGACCACTCAGCTAGCTCTCTGCTGCTGCAAAGACTATGACAGTGGAAAATGTCATAGAGGATCCCAAAGAGATCTCCCCAAAGAGAAGATCCCAAACAGAGAAGATCCCAAGAGTTGGCCTGCATTAAGTGCCATGAAGTTTACTTGAAATAAAAATCTAAGTAGTCTTACAAATGGAATACCAGATTGAGAATCATTTAATGTTTGTGGCTCTTTTAACATTTCATTATTTTCATTCTTGATCTGTGAAATACTGGCCATCCCTGCATGAGGCTACCATCCTTCAAAACCCTGCAACCATCCTTCAAAACCCCTCTCCCACCAGAATTTCAAATGTTTGGATCAGCGAGCTTTCAAGACATGGAAAATCAAAGTAAAAACATTTTGATTTTCAGGCATTTTAAAGAACAGTAATGGAAATCAAGATACCATTTACCAGTGCAGGGCCTGGAGCCCAGGGCTCACCTGGGCAGGTGAGCACCCAACCAGCCCAACCAGTGAGTTCAATCAGCTTCTGTTCTTCAGCCTCAGCTTCAAAACAACTTGATGATTTTTACTATTAAATCTTTAAGCAGATTCAGAGCTGATCTAAATTACATCAGCACCTAATGACCATGCTTAGGCAATTCTATTCCTAAGAGTGTTGGGATGGAGCACAAAGCAGCCACACTCCACCCTCTTCCTCCAAGAGACTGACTCTTGCAGGGGAAGCACACAAAGGGGCTGATATATAAGCTCTACAGCAGCCAGGAATTTCCCATTCCTGGAGAAAGTCTCTCACTAGAAAGAGTGCTGTCATCCAGAAATAAGGACAGTGGCAGAAGACTCTTGATAAAGACTTTAAGTAGCAAAAACATAACAATGATTTAGCTTTCCTCTAAAAAGTGAGAGTAGGGTGTCTCTTGCCAGGGGGGAACAAATGTTTGTCCCTATTACTTGGTGGTAAACAGGATAAAACACAGATTCTGCCAGTTACAATTTCCATGTCCTCAATTTAATACCCATAGGTCTGAGTATGATTTCTGCCTGTGGATACTGCTGAACCTCAAGCTTCCCACACACTCACTCATTAAGTTACCAACGAACAAACAACACCGCTCTCAAAACCCCAGACATACTAGTCTCTTCTTCAGTGTAAGCTTCTACAGCTCTGGAGTTCAAGATATAATTATGGTGGGGGAATATATACCTCGTGGTTCCCTGAGGATGAAAATAGGCTGCTTTGACGATTGTGCTTCCAGTGCCAGAGGAGCTTCTGCTGCATTTTCACACTGTTTTTTTCCTTCTCCACCATTTGCTGGCCCTCCTGGAGCCTTTGCAGGCTCTGCTGGTACTCCTGCAGCTGCAGCTCCAGGCCCTCGCGGCTCCGCTCGAGCAGCTCCTCTTGGCAGCCGCATTCCCTCTCCCGCTGCCCCAGCCGGCTCTCCCTCGCCTCCTGCTCCCGCTGCCGCTGCTCGCATTCCCGGGACCAGCGCTGCTGCTCCTGCTGAAACTGCTGCTTCAGCTTGTGTATGTTTGCCAGCTCCTCCCTTTGTTTTCCCATATTCCGATATTTTTCTTGTTCCTGGAGGAAGTTTACCCGAGAACTGTGACCCCGACCGGTCTTCTCGTTCTCTTGCAGGAGTAACTTATGGAGCTCTCGGTGGCTGTCCTGGATCGTTAATGCTGCCTAGTCACAACAAAATCAATTGCAAATATTTAATACTAGCCTTTATCTGGTTTCTCATTTTTACATACAAACACCATATAAAAACATTTTATCTTCCCTTGATATCAATGTTAGTGCTTTTTTGGAGTTCATTCATCATGCAAGTTGAGATTTCTGTGTTCATGCCCACATTAAGAGATGTTTCTAAAAGCACTCAACCATTTCAAGCACTTTTAACAGTGCTCCTGGTTTGCACTTAGTACTTCTTTTTGTAATGCTCATGCTACAGCTGTGCCTACACATTTCAGTTACAGTTGGGGTCCTATTCTATCAGATGCTGTTCAGTCATGCAAGAACACAGCACCTTTTATAGTTAAAAAGAACATTAAGGCAATGGTCTAGTAGATGGGAATTCTCCTTTCTCTGCTGTGGGTTGCCTGCATGACCTTGGATGAGGGCAGAGGCCAGATCTATGCCAAGAACGGGGAAAACTATGGGGAAAACTGCACAGTTTCAAGTATGGCTTGCACTCCAACCCTCACATTTTCTTTGCTCACCTGCCTTAGTGTAGTCCTATTAATATTAGTGCTACCTGCCCACCTAGCCATGTCATCAGCACTGCTACACACACTCGAGGTATCTGTGCCAGCAGAAACATGGAGTATAATCAGAGTTTCAGTTTTGCTGTTTCAATGGCTTATTTTACAACAGAAATGGGTTTGTTCCATCCTTCACAAGGATGTTGGGATGTTGTTTGCAGTAAAGATTGTGACATCCTCCAATAATACTAACAAAAAAAAAAAGAGCTGGGATTAAGAGGAAAAACAAAACAAAAAAGAAAGCCCTACATCTACTGAGGCATTTAATCCATAGCCTATTTCCAAGAGCTGGCATGGGAATCCACTTCAGTAGGCATTCCCAGAAAATTCCCACAACCCAGTTACCCCATGCCTTCCACTCCAGAAAGACTCTTTAGCTTTATGCAATGTGCAGTTCACACATTTCTTGGCTCTTCCCCCACTATTGGGTCAGCTCCAGTGATTTGTAAACAGGGCAAAGACTTTTTTTCTCTGCACCTACGCTGCCAGCTTATGCAAATTTTCATGGTCTAAACAATAAGCATGATGCTGATCCTTTTCTACTGCCTTTGGCATTATGTCTTTGTCTGCTTTTTTTTTTTTTTTTAATTTTGACTAAACTACAAGGTTTTTATTTTGCTTTTGCATTGTTTCAATTCACTTCTAAACCCAAGATTTTCAGAATTATTATGAAATATGCTAACTTCCAGAAGATTTTAAAAAAAAATCAAACATCCTGAAGTATTTGGAAATAAAACCTTCAAATGTTCAAATCTGCTATGAAAGAGGCAAAATCCTCTATTACTATGTATGTTCTATAGAACACACAGTGATAAATTGTAATATCTACAGCGGGTTGATTTACAGCTATGTGGCAAGTAGTGTTCAGAATAGTCAGGAAACTATTCTAAACAAAATATTTAGTTTTGAACATTTTGAACTATGTTTTGAAAAATCTCAACATGAACTGGCATCAGCTCTATATTTAACTTTCTCCCTACATTTTTGGGCTGTACACACATCCTTCTGGGGGCAAGGTGCTTGCTCCAAGCAAACATTAATTCTTTAAATGAAACACACCTCTGACATACAATAATAATATATGACAAATTACAATTTCTAGAACTAGGGTAAGATTAAAAAAAACTTAATAGCTAAAATTTAAGGCTCATTACAAAGTTAACAGTGGAGTAGTCACCTGTATGCTGTACAAGAGACGGGTTAAATTCTGGATTGCTTGTACAATCTAGAAAACAAAAGAGAAGGGTTTTCAAAGCTTTAACCACTGTTAGCTAAATACTAATAAATGTTAGTACATTCTGTCTGGGGTTTAAATAAACTCACCTCTGTCCCTGTAGATCCTGGGAAACTCATACTTCCACCCTAAAATAAACACATGTTGCTTTAAAAAAGTAGTTGTTAACTTTGCATTTGTATCTTCTAGGTAATTTTTTCAGTACTGGAGACATTCATATTGCTAATATATGCACTGCTGAGTCAACCCTTTTTGTGGGTACATGAAAAAAGACAGAAGCAGCAACCTATGAAGACTAATAATTCTTCAACACTAGAGTTGCCCTGGAAATCACTAGAGATTCTAAGCACAACTGTAAAAACAAAAATATTTCATCCACAATTTTAATCCTCTTTTGACTAATGCTACACAGAAAAGATATTTCCATTCATGCCTTATTTGACAGTTTCGAAATACAGTAACCAGACTTCTGTATATACAGCAGAGTGGGTTTAGATTACTTATAGTCAGATGAAACAGCTCAAGATTCTTCAAAAATCAAGGCACTAACACAGCAAGAAGCTAACAGAAGTTGTGTTAGCAGGTTATGGTGAATGCCTTAAACGTGCTGTGAGACATTAAGCCAAGGCAGAGTGCCTGCTGTCTCTGAAAAATATACCAGTGTGCTTACTACTGTACATCACAGCCCGGCTTGCTGCTCTCCCTGTAGACCCAGACGTTTTGTATTTTCCACCCAATTCCCCCTTTCTAAGGACCTTTTTGAATTTATGGGGTGAAGCCACCCATAATCCTTTCAGTATGAAAAACAGCTCCTCTGAGAAAGATAAGGTGGAAAAGTGGAGAAATAAAACACAATCCCTTCTGAGGCTACATTGAAAAGACTTCCTGTATGATTTCTGTTAGCTTTTTTCAGAGTGGAGGAGGGTTCTGGGAATATTTGCTCTTTCTCAGATTCTCCCAAGTTCTCTACTGAGTCTCATTTTCCATTACAGAGAACAAAGCAGCTGCTTTATTTAGCTGTGATAACTGAAAATGAGCATCAAAAAAGCCAAGTCCCAAAATCCACCTCAAAATGCAGCAGCTGGTGCTCACTTTCCCCTTAACCTGTCTGTACTTCCTTCACTCCCTCTTGTTTTCTCTTATCATCCCCCTTCGGTATTTTCTTTCATTTCCCCCACCTGCACCCCCTCTCCCCACTGCACCATGATCCAAACTGTCCCAGTCTGCAGCAGGAAGCAGAAGATTCTGTACGTTTGTCCCTACACAGCATGAGGACTGAGTCAAGGGAGCTCTGCCTTCCCTCACAGATTCACAGAATTCACAGAATATTTAAGGTTGGAAGGGACCTCTAGAGATCATCTAGTCCAACCTTCCTGCTCAAGCAGGCACACCTAGAGCATGTGGCACAGGGCGGCATCCAGGTGAGTTTTGAAGACCTCCAGAGTAGGAGACTCCACAACCTCCCTGGGCAGCCTGTTCCACTGCTCTGTCACCCTAACAGTAAAGAAGTTGCTCCTCACCTGGAGACGGAATGTTTCAGCTTGTGGCCATTACCCCTCGTCCTGTCACTGGCCACCAGTGAAAACAGCCTGTCCCCTTCCTCCCTGCATTCTCCCTTCCTGAACTTATACATATACGCAGCCCTCGCGGAGCTGCGTGCAAGGAGGAAGAGCAGGAAAAAGAAGGGAGGCAGAGCGAGAGGAAGGACACGCAGGCAGGATGAGGAGGAGCTAGGGTACAAAGGAGAGCCCGCACACTCAACAGTGGCAGGGTCAGCTCTTCCCTTTCTTTTATTCTTTGAAACCCTATTTAATTTCAAAGAGGAGATATACAGTGAGATTAAAAGCTCAGTGGGCTTTGATGCTGCAAAGGGCAGCAAGTGGCCACCCCAAGCACCTCCGCACCAAGCACCCAAGGCTCCTCACAGGTGCTGGGCAGTGGGACTTGGGGGCTGCACATACAACTGGAGCAGGTTTAGCCCAGCTAGCCGGGGTGTCAAGGCCATGACAAGCACCAGCACTTCCCCAGCTCTCTCCACCAGCACCTGGTACAAAGGCAGGGGCAGAAGCAGGGGAAGGCAAAGACAAGGACCACGTCCCAGCACTGCCCATTTCAGCTCCTCTGTGGTACCCAGGTAAGTGCGGTCAGCATCCAGCCCCAGGAGCTGTGGCTTTCCTTTGGTGTCCTGGCTGCTGCTTTGCAGGCCAGCTGGGCTGAGCCTGGCCCTGCAGAGGCAGCTCGCAGCCCCCAGCAGCACCCCCAGCAGCCCAGGTGCTGCAGAGCCCCTCTGCCACGGAAGCTCCTGCACCACGTTCGCGTGTTCCTTCTGCCATCTCCTGGTAAGTCGCATCATTACAGAGCACAGTGCGACACGAGGGCTGCCCTAGCGATATGCTACGACAGGCTAACAACTAAGCTTGGAAGGGCTTTCTGGAGGTCACTTGTTACAGCCCACTGCTCAAAGTGGGACTAGCTTCAAAGTAAGATGCCATTCCTCTTTACCTAGTTAAGTCCTGGGAATCTTTACAGATGGAGGCCCTACAACATTCCTCAGCCTCCTACCTGTTCCAGTACCTAGCTACCCTTCCAGGGGATTTTTTTCTCTTGCATACAGTCCAAATTTCCCCACCTGCCACTTGTAATCACTGATTCTCCTCCTTTCACTGTGCACCTCTGAGAAAGGGTTATAGAGAAGATGGAGCTGGCCCTAATGGCAATGTTTTGGTGTGGAGCCACTGAAACAGTTAAAGGGGTAGATCTGAGCCCCTCCATACTCCGCCAGGTTACTGTGCTTCATTTCAGCTTCTGCACTCCCTCACATAGACCTTCTTTTTCTTTTCTTCTTCCTGCCCTCTACTAGCATAGCAGTCTGGTAGGTGATGTCCCGAAGCTAAACATGAGGTGAGCTTAGAGGGAGATAGATGATTAGCAGGAGTCTTACAGAAATACCTAGGCAAAACCAGCATTTGATGCACACAGGGTACCTGTTATGATAAACAGCTAGCAAACCTTTTCAAGCAAACTTTGCTTTCTATTTCCAGTCATGTATTTTCTATTTTTTATTTTTTTTTCTCCTCTTTATTCCTTTCCATTGTACTGCTTCTCCATCTAAGGACTCCAAAATTATAACGCAGTTTATTTCCACACAACAGTTCATACTGCTCTTACTCTAACCCTCTTCTGCTGTAACCAGAAATTTGTCATTCATAATTCTGCCTCCAGGCCTCTGCTTTTTTTTTCTCCTTTACACAGATTTGTTTAAGAATAAAACCTATTTTTAAGAGTCCATCCTATTTTATATGCTTGTTCTCAGTAGGAAGTTCTCCAGCATCTAAGTTTGCATTAGCTGAGGTCTCTGTCCTTTCATCATCCTGAGAGAAGGGAGAGGTAGTAGAGGGAGTACTATTACCAGCCCCACAAAGATGGATGTATTGAAGGATGATGGCAGAGAATCAGGCCCTCAGCAGCCGAACAAGTAGTCCTGGACCCATAAGCCTTACTTTTTTAAAAAATGATTAATTACAGTGACATTTATTAAACTGTATTATTTGGACTTGGATGAAATGTGTCTATTGTGTGGCTTTGGGTTTTGGTAGGAACCTGAACAGCAATTACCCTCCCAGTGCCCAGATTGGTAAAAGCACCACAGCAAGAGAAAGCATTTACAATACCTTATCTTCAAGACTGGCAACTGCTATTTCCTTTTCAACAGGGCTAGCACTGAGACAGACTTCAGGTGATTCTTCACCTCCTTTCATTTCTGCATATAAAAATAACACCCCAATGAAATGCATGAGAAAGGTATCAAAACATGTTCTAAGTACAGAAACAAATGACATTCTTAGAGCTACTCACGGGAACCTGAAGCTTATATTATGTGGAGCTAGTTGATGTATTCTAGAAATGAAAACTATCCACATGGAAGAAAGAATGGCACAGGCAGGACAATCTGGTTTTCCTATCTTAAAAATTATAAGTATTTCATTTACAAAAGTAATAATCTGTCCATATCACTGAAAATGTTCTGCAGCAATGCTTTCTACAGGACTTCATTTGCATATTCAGTACAATCTATATTAAACTTTTTATAGCTGAAGTGATTGGAATGCCCATCCTACTAATCAATTCATTTTCAGGCTTCTCATTACAACTGGCTGACCGAGAAAACTGCCTACATTGCAGCATAGATTTGCTATGGAATTGAGCAAAAACTGACCAGAGAGCATCTGGGTATTATGTATGGAGTCAGTATTGCTGACTGCAGACATGTGCTATGGGAAAGCTGTAGTGGATGCAAATATTTATTTCAAGTATCTCTTTAATTATCTATTTATTTCAGTGAAGCCACATGACAACTTACACTATTACACATTCGGCAAAGACAATTTTTATTACAATGTTTTTATTGATTCTATCACAGTGTGGAAAAAAAAAAAACCTTCCTAAAAGAATTCTTGCATCAATTAGTTTGACATTATGAATACACAAAAGAATTAAGTATTACCATCAGGAAAAGTTTCCAAGATTTCATTAGCATTAGGCCTGTGTTCCAAGCTTAATTCTTCGGTACTTTCCTCTGATGATCTTTCTGTTTCACTCACTTGTGATGACAATATTACAGCACTCTGGAGACTTTCAACTAGAGAGGAAGACATGAAGAATTCGAGATGCTTTAAGCAGGTGCTTTATGCATTGACGAATGACATAAAATAACAGATTCATTTATGTTGGAAGCCCATTTAGCCCAACCGCCTGTCCAAAGCTTGTCCAACAAGATTGGTCATTCAGGGCTTTGTTCAGATAGATTTATAGTATCTTCACTAGAGGACTAAAGGAGAGAGATGTCACAACAACTCCGGCAACCTGTTCCAATAATTGACCACCCTCATGGTAAGTAACTTTTTGCTTATTTGGAATTACCCGTGCTCTAGCTTGTGCCTCTCTTCCTACCACCATGCCCCGCCTTTCACCTGCTGGTGATGTTCCTATTAATGCAGCCCATGATGCTGTTTGTTTGGATTTCTTTGCCACCAAGGGTACATTGCTGGCTCGTGTTCAACTAGCTGTCCACCAGAACCTCTAGGTCCATTTCTGCAAAGCTGTTTTCTATCCAGTAAGTGTCCAGCCTGCACCAACACATGCTGTTACTTCATCTCAGGACTTTTATATTTGCCTTTGCAGAACTTTCAGTGTTTTTTTTTTTCTCAGCCCATTTTTTCCAGTCTGTAGAGGTTACTGTGAGCAGCAGCCTACCCTCCAGCATGCTGATCACTTCAGGTCACCCACAATAAACTGTGTACGCATCTACTGTTCACTTCTTTAAGGAATACGTTAAATAGCATTGGTCTCAGTATAGATCCTTGTAAGTATTCACTTTCAAGACACCAGTTGTACTTGGAACTGCTGAGCATAACCCTTTGAGTAGCCGGCAGGTCAGACAATTTTCCACCGGATATGCAGTCCATATCTCATTTAGCTCTAAGGATATTACGGCAAACTGTGCCGAAAGTCTTGCTGATGTCAAGGTAAGGAACACAGGTATAGTGCTTTCCCTTCCTTGTAAGTAGTTGTCCAGCTGGTCTGGCATAATTTGCTACTGATATATCTACACTGGTTGTTCTCAGTCACCATGTGGTTAGAATTTGCTTCCAGGAGGATCTGTCCTATCACCTTCCCAGGGACTGAAGTTACGTACAGGTCTGAATTTCTTATTATCTATCTTACTTCTTGAAGATGGGTTGCCTTCCAGAAATCAAGAAGCTCCTCTGATCACTGCAATCTTTAAAAGATTACAGAGAGCAGCCTCACACCGGCACTGACCAGCTCCCTAAGCAGCTCTGATTGCATCTAACTGACATGTATAACCAATTGGCCTAAATTCTCCCTAATTTTATCCTTAGCTATTGTGAAGAAGAGTTCTATAAACTTCAGTAATAGCTTAGGATCCTAGTACTTTTGTACTGGAAAATAATATCTGTGCCTTGCTGAAAATTCACACTGTGCTGAAGAGCCCTAAAATCAAAGACATCATCCACAGCAATACTAGCATGAGAGAAAGTGAAAATTAGAAGTGGGAAGAATTAACTGTGTGTTTATAGGCATCTTTTTAGGCTATTAAAATTACATCTACCATCACATCTGCTTAGAGAATAATATTTTAAGTGCTCTCTGACTTTATAATAATGAGGACAACCCTTGCTTCTTTATAGGTTGAAACGTCATTATTTAGCCCATTCCTATTTTTACTCTCAGTGATGCCTAATTTTTGTACAAGTGACTCATGAAATGTGGAGTTCAGAGCTCTTTGAGGTCACAGGAAGGCTTTCAAAGTACAAGGCCCACACTGGATATTTCTTAGTATACCAGGGCTCTTTCTAGTTGAGTTTAACAGGAGTTTAGTTAAACTTCCAGTAGGAATGACAACCACAAATGTAATTCCCCTCATTCCTTCAGAGGACAGCACTGCAGCCCTGTTTACACCTGGCATTATGCATCAAACATTATCCTTATCTTATAACCTGACAGGTCCTATCTCATGCATCTGAGAAGTATGAACTGAGAAACTTCCCTCCAATGTCTTGGTGCCATGTTTTGACAGTGCCAAGCTTTTGAGACTTGACAGAATCACAAGACAGAGCTGTACTTGATACCTTGAAGTATCTACCTACTCACAGAGAAGGAAACATTTCAGTTTTCCTATGCAAACTCACCTTCCCTGAGGGCTGCTGCCAGCAGTGAAGCAGCCTGTGGAGTTTCTCCAGAATCAGGTTTGATAAGAAGGTGAGGTTCTACATGAACATCCTCAAACCCACTCATATCTCCCAGTTCTGCATAGATACGCAACTTGTCTTCCAAATAACTGCAGATCTGCTGGTCCTGGTTACTCAATGATTCTGTGAACAGAAATGGAACACTATTAACATTTCCCATCCTGCAGGCAGAGCACATTTCCCACTCATCCTTCTAATCCTTATGCCACATAGATACTGCTAACTCAAGTTAGGCAATAGAGAGACTGAGTTGCACAATGCCTTTTATAGGTAGCCAGGAACCAAATTCAACCCACAGTCAGACCTGATGAAAGCTGGCACAGACAGCCAGGCCAGTGCCATGCCCTGATGAGGCAGCCTTGGCTGCACTCTGGAGCCACCTCCTGCTGCACTGAGAATGAGTCATGCTAGAAAAGCACCTGGCTCAGGCAGCTGGAAGAAGTGCTGATTCAGTGCATCAGCATCAGGGAAAAACACCAGCTCACATTTGAGGATGTCCCTCCTGTGGCTGTCTCAAGGAAGGACATCACTTGCACTTCTCCCCCCTAGGCAATAGAAAGATTTTCAAACTGAGTGTAGGGGAGCCAAAGAAGCTATAGTTATCCCTATTAGTTACATTTTCAGATTAAAATCAAGTAGCACAAGGTGCCAACGCCAAAACCATCACTAAGCTATTCAGTCAGTGAAGATCTGAGCTATTTCTGCAGATAGGAAATTATACCAGCTTAATGTTAACCTTGCATATCCAGATCTTGTTTTAAAGGCATCCATTGTTTCCTTTTTCTTTTGTGCTGTCTGTTACGTAGCAAGAACATCAAGTGCTTGGACAAATACTGTCTTTCAGGAAACTGAAACCACATATCATCTACCCTGTGAATTCTACCTATCATTCTGAACCCACCAGCCAGTAAATGTGGTGTTACTCATTCATTCTGAATGCTCTGGACATGCAAGCTCTGAGAGCAGAAGTGTTACCTTGACACTTCTGAATCCTAGATGCTTTGGCCTCAGCGATGCGTCGGTCCTCATCAGATTCACTCATTTTTCCTTCTTCTTCTTCTTCCGGACAACTTTAGAGATAAAAGACAAGCAAAGATGCAGAAAGCAAAATCTGCACGTCACATATTAATCTTCAGTAAAGTACTGCACTCATAGTAAACCAAAAGCATTAATACCAACTTCTACAATCTACAAGCAAGCCATTTGTCTGCTTCTTTAAAAACAGTAAAAAGATACATATACCAGACTGAAGAATTCCTTTTAATTACACCAAAACTGCATTAGGCAGTGAATTGACGCCTGGCCCTCCTATAAGCTTACTGTGCTTATCATTCCCCTGGCCCCAGGAGGAGCAGAGCTCTTCCTGCCATTCCTAAGGAATCAATGCCAAAGTAACAAGCCATTTTCTGAAGTGGCAAGGAATTTCCCCAAAAGGAGCTCGTGGATAGCTGCACAACTCAGAAAAGGGCCTCCAGTGTGAAAGCCAAGGTAAGGGAAACTTAAAATATCTGATAAAGACATTTAATGGGGAGAGAGATGGATCTACTGATTCAGTGGGAACGCACAGCTACCATTGGAAATTTGGCAGAACTGATCCTGAGGTTTTGAGGTTTGTGAATCCTGAGCTCAGAGAAAAGTCCAGCCTCACAGAACGGATCCACTGCACAGAGCACACTGCCAGGAATATCCAAATCCTACCTTGAGGCTACCAGACCTTGCGCCTGCTTTCGCCTAGCAGAATGAAAACCAGAAGCCTTTTCCTCTACCTTTCCACTGCATCTTGAATATGTCTCATCCAGCTGTTACGTTCCTCTTTGGAATTGGTGTGAACCTCATACATCTCAGGCCCTGCAGATGAAGCGCTAATCAGAAACATCCCCCTTTCTTCGTTGGCTACTTCTCTTACTATGAGCTTCTGAAGGGAGATAACTGAAGGCTTCTGGTCCTAGTGAAAACAGTCACAGCACATACAGAAAAAAAAATTAGAAAAGACTTCACAAAAATCTCTTAGAAAGGAGCATAGTCTTAAAAGAACGGGATTTTTCAGTTAATTGGACTAACTGTAGTTTTGCCACTTATAGCAAGTGGCAAGTATATTATACTACAGTATAGCAATACCTACGCGTATTATACAAATGTAAAGCAATAAGCTTGAGAATTTAGGCTTTTTTAAAAAAATGTTTTGAATGATACTTCACGATGTTCATAATGAGTAAAGCATTGGGTACATCCTAAATTATAACTTCCTGAAGCTCAATGGACTGAAGCTCTATATTTACATAACTTGTTTGGAAATTTTTATCCAAGACCTTTCATGTATTTTATACATGTTTATGACTACATTTTCAGTTAAAATAAAACTTCAGTTTTGTTTTACAGAACTGGAAGTTAGAATTTATTTTAGATAATTCAAAGAATTGGCTCTGCTTCCTATCTTCGTAATCAGATGAGACATGTACCTAAAAACCCTAATCATCCTGCTGTTTTCATCCCTCTGCTTCAAAATGTTATTTAATTTTGAAAATAAACTTTATTTTCCATAGACAGGCATATTTGTGTTTTGAATGCATTACCAAAATTAAGAGAATAAACATTGTGTAAGAATAACCTGAAAAATGATCTATTTTTTGAGAAATATACAAATAAACATCTAATGTATATATTTAAAAAGCTGATAATATACTTACAACAGCTGCAAAGACATATTTTTGGTCTTTTTCTTGTAAAAACAGCAGCATGTCAGTTAGAAGCAGAGCTAAAATGTCTTCAAAGGAGAGAAAGAAAGGAGTGTTTTTTAACAAAAGGTATTACAGTTGTAGTTTCAGTAGTATATATGTAGCCTTTTATATCTGAAGAGGGAGAGAGCCTGATCCATAAATATCCCATAGAATTCTACAGTAAACTAAACAGGAAATATCTGTATGACACTATGGCCTGCACAAAGCAACTGCAAGCCCTCACTTTGTATCTCCTGGGAAAGACAACACTTCCTGCTACCCACCCTCCAGCAGCAGCACTGGAGATTTCCATGGAGTTTCTGGCCCAGGGAAAGAAGAAACACTCCCCGACCTGTCAGCACAACTTCCCCAGGCCGCGTGCAGGCAGCGCGGCAAAAACTACCCCACATAAATTTTATTTTGCCTGTGCCATGTATACTCATAGCACAATGCAATACTGATGAAAGCACTTCTGGAATAACTATGAGGAGATTAATTTTAGAAAGCTGTACAGTATAAATATAAATAAGATCAAACAAACAATTCACCCAACATGTGATTATGCACTGAAAATCAAATTCTGGGCTTGAACATAAAAATTAGGCTCCAGTCATATTTGGCTTCAGATTTTGTTTTCCTCTGAAGACATGACAGTACTACTAAAGAATAGCACATAATTTTTTATATAATACTTTTAATAGCCAATATTGCAAACAATATAAACATACAAGTCAAGAATTTGTGTTAAAGAATGAAACTGCAAACTCCAGGAACTACAAGGAAGGAGCTAAGTGGAAAATACTAGTGTTGAATGCAAAAAGCTCATCTCATCCCAGGCTTTGGCTGAGGGCCTTTCTTATCCAGATAGACAGCACACTAGCCACAATATAACAGCGGCAGCTTCTGGTATCACAGGTCCAGCAATTTGCAGCACATTGGCAATACAATTACCCGACAAATTCGAGTTTGCAGCATACTCTCATAATATACTTCCTTTCAAACTTGTATCTCAAACCATCTAATCTTTATATGTAAATTGCAAATAAAAAGTTAAAATACTTTACTGTTAGGATGCAATACCTTTGAAACGTCCAGTAGCTGTTTTCCAGTACACTAAACCTTCATGAAGAAGTATCCTTTCTTTCCTCATCAAGTCCTGCTTCCTGAAAATATGGCCATTTTTCAGCTTTGTACATGTTTTGTTTTCAGTTCTGCTAAGAATTTCCAGCAACTTTTGCCTTTTGTCATATTCATTAACTTTCAAATCTACTGCTGCAATCATATCCTTAATTAGTCGAAGGGCTTTGCGTAAGTCTTTATGTTCTTCTGTTCCTTCTGTAGCAAAAATTAATACAAAATAGAAAAATAAAATAAAATAAAATAAAATAAAATAAAATAAAATAAAATAAAATAAAATAAAATAAAATAAAATAAAATAAAATAAAATAAAATAAGGAGAGAAAGCAAAGACATCATGAAAGACATTGTTCCTTACTTTATGTGAACCAGTCCCTGTGATGCAAGGCTTAAATCAACACACACATCATTTTAGGTGGGACCTGGTAATCAATACCGAAGACATCTGCTTTAGCTAGAATTCATCTTTAGTACTGAAAGATGACACAGATCTCATATTTATTCAGTTGTCAAAACTGCATGTCAAATAGTTTCTGATATATCTACAAGCTCTTAGCATTTAAACATATTTTATTGGCTATGCAAATCATATCATGTATTATAATTCTCACTAAAAAAATCAAAATGTAATTTTAAACTGAGAGGTTTGCTTCTGGACATGCAATATTCATCAATATTTGTTTATTGCCCTTTTTTGCAATTTTGTAGAGCTATTCACATGTTTTTAAATGCTGCAAGAAAATTTAGTGGTCATTCAAACTTGCTTTGAAAACATGAGCACTAATTTATTAAACACTTCCCCGGAATTTGTTGAAGAGAGTGGGATTTGTTTAAGAGAAAGCGCATTTATCTTTCCAAATTAGTTCACATCTTATATTCAAGATATTTTACTAAAACAAGTACAATCTTCTGGACTTCTATGACTTATCTGGTTCAAACCTTGGAAATTTTCACACACTAACTTTGTCAAAAATATATACCTGGCACACTTTTCAGGCGATAATTGCTTCACAGTAGAAAATTATATTGCTCTGATTTTCTGCAGAATAGTGGATCTATTCCTTTGGTATTCTGCAATTATGCATATTTTTAACCTAAAAAATGCATTTGGATTTCACATATGAAGCACCACTTAAGCTTTTCCTCACCTTTTGAATACTGCAATATCCTTTCAACCAGAACAGGGTATTTGGTGATTCGCTGGGTGACGAGCAGAATGCATTCGGGGATTCCTCGTCGTCGAGCCAACAGGTTACTATTTCTCAACTGCAGAGTCACAGATATAGCCCTTATTAACTCAACACACATTAAAATAAAAATTGACTATCAGGAGATCTAAACATAAACATCTAAATGTGTTAGAATGAATTAAAACAAAATACCGGGTTTATTTGAAATACCCCCAAGAACAGTTGCTATCCTGAGCGATGAGGTGCTTTAAGAGGAGCGTGTGTGTGAAATACAATGACAGCAAATCTTCTGCAAATTTGAAATTAATATGTAATTTATCAGATCACTGATTAAGAAGGAAACAATTGGCTATTCTTAGTAGCTATGAAAAGAGAGTTACTGAATGCAATTTGAACCTGAATTTGAATAAAAACTACAAGCTAGATATCTATTTTCTGAGCATTTTGTCAATAGTAGCATACTTCCATGAAAACTTACTTTAATAAAATTCTGGAACTTCTTGTTTTGTTGCAACTCTTTGAAGAGATTAACAGCTTCTTTTTGATGGCTGCAAAACTCTCCATATATTTTCTTCATTTTACTTGCATTTTCCTCTGAAAACTGAAGAAATAAATAATTGCATTGTGCTCAGCACTGCATGACATAGGAAGGCATATACCTGAGGATTATTATATTTTGTACATATATGGATATACAGAACTTCTAAGTGGCTTGTTTCTCAGATTTTCTGAATTTCATTAATAGTGTCCATCACAACTGAATAAACACAGGCTAGTCATTTTTTAAGAGCAAGAACAGGGATGTAGGCTGGACAAACACAAGCTACTTCCATTATAACTTTTCCAATAATGCCTGAAACAACTGTGTTATAACAGTATTTCCTCTCCTCCTTGGAAACACGCTACCTTTTGGATCTTATTTGCATCTATCTGACCTCGACCTCACATATAGATAGGATAACAACAGTTTGGTTTCTTTAGATGAGTAGAGTGAAAAGAAACCAGCTAAAGGTGAAAAACTGCACCCTGATGATTGCAGAAACTGAGCTATTGCCAGCAAGCAAAGGTAGCAAGCTGCTCTATAGCTAGCAACTCTGCGTGACTGTCCCTCCTCTACTAAGCAACAGCTTGAGGCATGCAATCCACTTAATGATGGGAGCAGCTTTCTACTACATACATGGTCCAGTATTCACAGTTATCTGTCACCAGTGATTTTCTCTCATTACTATTTCTCCCTGTAATAACTTGAAGGACTTGACCTTTAAATTTTATGAGACAATCTTAGCTTTCCTCCTTCCCATAAAAGATTTGAACTCAGTAGACTGTTTAAAGTGAGAACCTCGAATACATAACAATTTAACTGATCTGAAGTCCCTACCTGTTGCACAAGGATGTCTCCAATTCTGCTGATTACAAAATTACGTTCACTCCCCTCCTCATATGATTCCTGACGTCTCTCCTTCATTCTGCAGAAGAATTGCCTGTGAATCTCCAGTAGCTCATCTAAGCAGGGAAATATTTTGTCCACTGTGCTGTGGTCCAGCTGTAGTTCTTCCTTCATCCCTTTCCTGAAGATTTCAGACATAATGAACAGGGTGTGGATGTGATGCACTTCTGTTTGCATCAGCTCTGCAATATGAAAGAAGATAGCATAATATAGAAATCACTTGAACATTTATAGAAACCACTTGAACATTCTGCACACATTCTGTGACAGATTTTAGTAATATTCAAATATATGGTCAAAAATGCTTTTTCTATGTTAGTTTTTAGATTTATCCACTTCCGGTATGGTTTTATGAATTGCACCTCTCTGAACAAGGTAGACTTGTCTTTAGTAGCCCAATGTGTCTCGTATCTCCTCATCTCCAGAAAATAAATTGTGAAAAATGTTCTTTGAATCTTATTATGCTTACAGAATTCTATCCTTACATTCTCCCAGTTATAAAATATGCAGGCTCCAGTTTCTATGACAAATTATTTTCAAACTCAAACAAAATTTTGAAATACTAACCAAAAATCACATCCTGCCTTTTGATAACATCCTTTTCTTGTTTGCTGCAGAAGGCTGGATCTACAATAAGACTCCAGGACTCTGCCTCAAATTCTTGGGCCTCTGTGCTAAGGTCAGTCCACTGAGAGGAATCCACGTCATCTATAATAAAGCATAAACCTCAAAATCACCAGCCATATAAATAAGGGAATATATGCACACCTCTTCAATAAAACAAGGGGAATATATCACAGGAATGAACTTCAAACAAGATTTCTGATGAAGCCAAAAGCAGTTCTACAACAGAAAAATTTGTCAAATATAAGTACCAGTACCCAAGGCTTGAAATGCAAACTCAACGGTAGAGAGGAATACAACCCATCTTGTCCCAGATTAAATCCTTCCTATCTTTCTTTGCTTGAAGATCTTTTTTTTCAGTTTGAAAACAAAATATAACATTTTCAGAAGTATATTCTGGCACTGGAATGGCATTTACCATTTGCAGATGTCCAATAAGAGATATCTATACGATCCGTTGTGAAACCCTTCAGCTTTGAAATCTTATCTTGTATCTACCTACAGAAAAGGACTATTTCTATTCACTTCACAGTCATGGACATTAGGAGGGTATTAGGAGGGCAGTTTGCCAGTGGAAGGTAAAGCTGTGGGACCACCAGGGACATAGGTTTATTCACTGCAATGGATGCTGTCAATTCAAGTGATTATGTGAGTGCTGGAATAAACTATGCCATTGTTATGGTTTTGCAAATACGCCAGTAAGTTTACCCATTCTTTTCCAATAGCAGCACCAAACAAAAGGAAATTCTGAATGTTATCACGGAGTTCATTATGGGAAAGAAAGAAATGGTAGTATTTTAAAGCTAACATGTCTGATTATGTCATTTCAGTGAAAGACACCATTATAATTAACAGAAGACAGAAGATTTTAGTAGATGAAGCATCTTCTTTATTACAAACAATTTCACTTTATTTTGTGTTTACAATATAGTCTATGAAATTCAAGATTTGTGCAGTATTTATTACCTTCCATCATAAAAGAATCCATTGATGAATAGGTTCCTAAGGCCTGCAACATCTCTTCAGACCGTGACTTAGATCTCCAGGTGCTAGTCTCAGAGTCTTGCTCAGGAAATGGCATCGATCTTCTACAGTGGAAGAGAAGCATTGACTTAACAGTTGCAGTTCTTCTGGAAATGCTGAATGACATATTTAGGATACTACTCCGGCAGCTGCACTCTACCTTTCAAAACTGGCACCAGGAACACTTTTGGACAAGGAATGGGATTGCTGTGAGGCTTCCCTCCTTGCAGCAGACAGTCCGATTGGCAGAGAGGAAGAAGGATGCACTAAGGAGAACACAGGTTGGGAAATGTCTCCGAGTGAGGAGTCTGTGAGGCAAAACAGTTGCACAGTTATACTGTGAAATGCTAGCTAGTGTTCACACAGACCCACAGAAGGTTATCAGGAATAACCCCACATGGCATAAGACCCTGAAACGCTCTCCCAGAATAGAAAAACAAGCCTGCAGGCAAAGCTGAGAAGTTCTAACATGCATCTCATAGATGAAAACAATCTTAAATCATTCATGCTTTTACACTGCAATTTAAATACAGGTAATCCAAATATTAATGCACATGATGAATAATGACAAACACAAAAACACAACACAGAACTTGCTCTTTTTTGTTTCCATTTTTACTGAAAATCAACTATTATAAAACTCCCATTCATTTTAGTAGAAGAGTTAGTTAAATGGTAATTTCCTCAGAAAGTCAAAATAAGTTGCATCAAGTATTAGAGAGGCACCTATTTCCCTGCATATGCCCATATCATGAAGAGAAACACGTGTTTCTCTTGATGATGAAGTAAACAGTTGTTTGCCATTTCTGTTGCTTTTCAACAGGCTCAACTTTGAAGTGTTAGAGTGTTAGACCACTTACTAAAGTACTCACTTGTTGAAACAACTTGTGATTTGTTTTTATTATTGTACCTCTCCTGTGATTTCTGAAAGAGAAGCATGTTATGAAATTACAATGAAATATAAAATAAATGACAACATACTGAACAGTAATTCACTTTCATATGTCATCATATAAAGGTGCTTCTAGAAAACTGTCCTAAATCATGGTTCTAATTTCTGCTAATAACTAATAAACCAAAGTCAAAGTAGAATAATATTTGTACTACAATGAGAAACTAAATCTATTTATTTTAATCTGAGTCACTACAGCTATAATCTTATATTTTTTCTACAAGAATATTGCTTGTGGAGGCTGCAAGAAAAGACATTCATATTTAAGGCTTCATATTCAAGCAAGTTTGAAGCATCTGTGGCAAAGTAGATTTTGCAAAACTTGTAACAGAAGCCTGCTGTGTTTGGCATGTATCTCAGTCGAGGTAAGTTAGTGATCATCTTGTAGTCATTCATTCTTATTGAAATGAGTCAGTCTTGTCTCCTCTTAGTGATACCCACTAGCTGTAGTAATCAAAACCATCAATTCAGCTGTCCTAATGTCCTAAAATTACTTAGAAATTTGTGCAGAATTATCACATGGCAGCTCCAGACAAAATAAACACTGCCTATTTTATGAGCAATTAAAGCTTTCTTTACGCTGAAGATTCTGTAGGAATGCTCTCCCTGCTAACCACCATAATGCAAAACCCAAACATACCACAAAGGCACACTCTGCTCACGTGAAAAATGACTTGTATGGCTGTGGGTACTTCTTTGCAAGCCCCTTTTCACCCCATGTAGGCAAAAGCCCTACATGTCAGCTTTTAAAAGCCACAACTTTTGGCATGATAATCACACCACATCTGCATTCCTACCTAAAGGGACATGCCTAGCACAGGGAAAGACTGCTGAAGGAGGCTGGGGAGGCTCTTTCTCCAGAGATTTTTTCAGAATGAGACAAATATCTGCCAAAAACGTTAGAGAAGTGAGCCTGGTGCAGGGCAAGGAGCTGTACTAGGTAACCTCCCAAAGCTCCTTTCACCACTGTTTCCATTTTTTCCAATATAGAAGATGTCCCTTTCCACATAGGGAGACATCTGTGACTTTTAGGAGCATTTCTTGCAATTATTTCATAACTAGACCTTAAAACTGTTTGGGAACATATCCCCTTTCTAAAAATACTTGTTCAAGTACACTGCTTTCTCTGTTGCTCATATTAAAAGTTCGACATTACTGTAGCCCTCTCTGCATAGACACTAGGTCTGAATGGCCTATGTGTGCTTTATTTTCTTCACCTCATTTCAATGACCCTTTGAAAGCAAATATTCTCTAGTAAGAACAGTGAGGTATAGGAGGTTACCTTGGTGCACACAGGAGCACACTCCTTACAGCTCTTATGCACAATCACGTTGCAATCTGAAAGAGAAGGCACATGTCAAAGCCTGAAGTTGAACATGGTTCTCAGCCTGCATAAAACTGTACTCTATGGATTCACTATTATCATAGAATTGTTTTGAATTAATATATATCATATAATAAGGTTGGAAGGGACCTTTAGAGATCATCTAGTCCAACCCCCCTGCACACGCAGGGTCACATCTATACATATGTCATATTACATCTTCTTCAGACTCACTAAGTAGCCTCGGGGCTGCTCTGATGCTCCGGCCCCTAGCTAAGGAGGAGCTTCTGTCTAAGGCGTTTGAGTGAGGCCATGGCCCTGGTTCCTTCTGAAGATGTCCCTGTTCTCCCTCGCCCTTACCAGTCCCAGCACTGCACACAAAGCAGGTATTTCCAAACCCAGGCAAGGTTTCTTTTTGAAACAAAGCCCTGAATAATGATCTTATGGCAGGCTTTTAAAACACTGTAAATTCACACATAGGTCAGTAACTACTTACAAGAGCACTGCAGTGACTCCTTTCCTAGGAGGGCCTTTTCACAGGCTGTGCAGGGGATAACTCCTGAGAAAGTCCCATTTACAAAATTATGTCTGTTCAGTTTCTCTTTATCTTTGGCATCTTTATTTTTTGTCTTTATCCCCAACAGCAGAGTCGGGAAAAAAAAAAGGGGGGCGGGGGGGAAGAAGGAAAATATGACATTATAAAAGACAATAAACTGATTCAATCATTTAAAAAACTAAAGCATCTTCTTTTAAGTAAATGATTAAAAATATTTATCCTCTGTCCTGCCTGTCAATTAAATTCAACATTTTTTAAGTTACAAAGTGATGAAGGTTTTGCAGCTAAGCCAGCAATCTTTATCAAGGAACACTGGCAGAAATAACTTTATAAACCTGCAGAAAGGAAAGCAGCAGGAGAAAAAAAAATAGAGGAGATACTGACTAGGTGCACACATAGGTATCAATGCCTACTTCTCCGAGGTATACATGCAAATTCATACTTATGCAATTCAGGGTACACTTGTATAAATATATACAACTTGCCATTAGATCTTAATATACAAAGAAAAACAATCTAGTTTTAATGAGTGTTCATAAATTTAAAATTTTTCGATTATTTTTACAGTAATCCTGTTGGTGTGAGTACACATTCCTCCAAGGAGTTCAAGTAGATATGCTTTAGGATACTGCACACTCACATATGTTTGTGTGCTACATGATTCAATATACAAGTTTGCAGCCTGTTGTACTGCTATATTACCTCAGCAGCACCCTACTAGCCATCTTGATGCATGTTTATTTTAGAATACTCTGGGGCATACAGCAGGGTGTATTAGAGAGACTAGAAAGCTCCTGCAAGGCCAAATCCATCCCTCAAGCTGCTAGTGGATGGTCTTACTCCTCACTTCAGCTGGCTCAAAATTAAACCATAATTGTTCTAAATCTATCTTTCATACTCTGCTTGAGTATACAAAACTTGAATCTGCAACACTTTCACAATAAGCAGTACTTTTTCATGCAAGGAATTCCACTAACTTGAAACAAGGCAAATTCAGCGAATTGTGTGCAAATACAAGAGGTAGAGACTTAAAGGCCATTCAGAAACTCCAACTCTATCTAAATAGTCAAATGAGAATTTATTGATAGCATTAAAAATATACAAGGAAATATATAATTAGTTAAGCTAAGGCGACTTTTTAAAAGGTTTTTGTTTAATTAATATGAAGAACTCTATCCAAGTATCTTGCAATTGTTTTAAAATTAAAAAATAAAGATAAAAGCTTCTTCCTAGTACTTACAGGTATCTGCAATAAACAAGTTTATCTTTACATCAAAATTTATTCTGATCTACAATTCATTTAATTTCAGTGATGCAATTACAAATAATAATATAGACATAAATCTAAAATTACCTTGCACTTATTCCGTGTACTAGTCATCCTGTTCATCAGGAAGCTGAAAGTTCGACTCACTTTACATTTTTCCGACTCTGTTTTTGCAGGTACCATGTATTTATCCCATTCCTCCTCCTGAATCCTAAAACACAGATCCATGAAAATGCCCGTGACTATTCCCACTCACGCCAGTGGAAAGAGTGTCTTAAAAGAGAACAAAACCTGGATGACATTTGTTCCACATAACATTTGCAATTCCGTTTTATTCCGGTTTTAGCTGTAGTTATTAAACCCATTATAACTGCTCTTTCTAGAAGGGGAGGCTAGCAGCGTGGGGAGGGCAGGGATGTGCAGCGTGCTACAGGCTTCCCGCCATTCCAGCCATTCCCAAACGCCTCCCCGTGTCCACCTGGCGCTTCAGATGCACCTGCGGCATCACGCGGGACGCACAGGCCGTGCGGCCGCTAGAGCTGGGCCCAGGCCAGGTCGCGCGGCCGCCTCTCCCCGCTCCGCTCCCTAGATGGCATTCTTGCCCAGACGTGCTCCAGTCCCACGGAGAAGCGGCCCCGAAAGCTCACGCGTGACAAGTACCCGTACCTTTTCTCTCGGGACTGCTCGGGCAAACTGTAGGCTCGCTCTGCAAGACACAAAGCAGTTAGGGAACCCTCAGGGCGTTACCTCGGCACCTTTATTGGCAGCACGACCTCCACCAGGCCATAAGCTTGTCATGAAGCGCTTGCAAAGTCGTTTGAAAATTAGGAAAGCAAAAAATATCTATATTAGAAGCAGCTTCTCCCAGGACAGTACCATTGCCTACTACACGCTGCAAAGTTGACAGAGTCTGCCAGAACCAAGGCTGATATCAGCAAATGCCACTCCCTGCAAACAGAGAGTCTGGGTTTAAAGGCATGACAAAACAGCTTTTTCTTTTTTATTTTTCTAAACAACACAGACCTAAATGATTCATCTTTCCTTTTGCTTCTTATATAATTTGTTGTAAGATATCTTAAGGATGTTCATTTAATATTTACAATTATCTGCTTTATTTGGCTTTGGCTACAGTATTCTCCCTTCTCCATAAAGGGTCTATGCACTGCACAGAATACATAATATGTTACATTCATGCCCCAGAAACAGTAGAGAGGTCTCAAAGAGACAGTTTTCAATAAACTGTATAAAAAGGAGATTAAAAGAAGAATCTGAGTTGTCTAGAAAAATAAAAAATAGGATGCCACCTACTAGTTCCAAATTAGAAGTCATTTAGTTTTGTAGGCTTTATTTGCAAAGCTACCACGAGCATGGCTCAGAAAGGTGCTTAGACACCCACCTAACTTGTAAGCATCAGATTATGCCATACTTAAAGCTAGATACAAACTTAAGCACACTTACTGAGCCAGTGTGCCTTTAGGGATATATATATATATATATACCTTGGGTTAGCAAGAGCTAGTACATTTACCACAGAAGTAGCAAGACTAGAAGGGCTTTTCAGTTAATTGCCAGACAAAAACTGTGCAACAGGATGCTTTCCCAAGAAAAAAGGCCATGTACCCATGGGAGATGGAGACAGCCTCATGCAATACAGCGCTACTGGGTTGTCACTGTGGTACTTACTACAGGGGTGCAGCAGAGACACTGACTTAGAGAGTGAAAGAGCCTGAAGGAGGGATCGACCACTGTTCATGAACACACCATCTACAGAGCAGGAACAAATCCTTTACTGTTACAGATTGGTAATGCCTTCTTGAGTAAAAACGGGCAGTTGTTTTAGTTGAGCATACTGAAAAATCACAGATAACAACTTCTCACTTTCTTCTTACACATCATATTACTCTTGCTGTCATGTACTTGCCTGCTTTGGCTAACATCAGCAAGCACACACCTCAGCACAGCCAACTAGCTCAGCTGCTCCTCTCTCTTAATCTTAAGTGAGATGTCCAAGGTGGTGCAGCTTACCAGCTGGGCACAGGGAAAGCAGGAGGTTTTACAGTGCACAGACACCTGAACAGACCCAGGCACAGCGCAGCTGGGAATTCAGGATGAATGATCTGATTTTTCTCCATGGACCAAGCCCCGGGGCCAGGCTGCTTCCAGCAAGCAGAGGAGACGGCTGCAATGCAGCACAGGTGCCTGTGTCACACAGTAACTCCCACCACCGGGCACCAAACATTGCCATCAGCGGCTCCGTCGGAGCAAAGCCCTGGCAAGGGAGGGATGGGGCAGGAGCCGCCGGCAGCAGGGAGCAAGGAAATGCCAGCAGAGCCGGAGCAGACACTGGCCTCGTTCCCGGCAGTGGGTGGATGCAGCACACGCTGGATTTGCAGCGCAGCCAGCAGCATGACCCATTTGCACTGCTTGGGAAGGGCTGTGGAGAAACTGAAATCCTTCTTCCTCTCTGTGTTGTTTCTCCACAACACAGCTAAATGCCAAACATTGCCCGTATCTGGGAGGAGAGGAAGAGAGAACGGACAGGACTTGGGTTTGAGCCTGAATCAGGTCAAAGCAGGTAATGGTATCTAGATGAAACTTTATGGTCTATGACACCAAGAGTCTCTTTAGTTATGGGTTCAAAGAAATTCTTTTTTAGCTTTAAGCACATACTAAAGGGGTTTCCTTATCTGTGATTCTCTGCTTCTGTGACCTACATTCCTTATTTTATTCTGCTCTGTGTTTAAAGACTTTTCACCAAATCTGTAGGATACAAATGGTTACAAACAAGTTAAGCAACATGGAAAACTATAACACAACTACATGCTGCATGCTAAAATCTTAGAAACAGTCGTAAAATCTTACAGTGAATTTGAGCAACAACCACAAAACTGCTTGTTGCAGTTTTTAATACAGTTTCCTAAGGGGAAAAAAAAAGATTTCTGCCATCATTGTATCTGTCTTCCACTAACTTTTACCATCTTACTTTTGAATTGAACCTCTTTCAAAGTTAATTATCACATTTTCACAACTTTCATGATACCAGGCTGCTGGATAGCTGAGAAAGACTTTAACTAATACACTTCAACTGAGAGAAAAGCTGCAGTGCCCACTCAGCAGGTCTCCCTTCCACCTGGTTCACTGGAACACACAACTATTCAGCACGGGGCCTGTCTTGATCCAAATAAGGGAGGAAGCTGGTTGTACAGCACACACACAGAGGCTGGAATTACAGCAGACAGGGCCATCGTGACAGAAAACACAAGCTCACAGAAAACCAGGCTTCATTAGTTGTGCTGCTCATGGAACAACTTTTTGAGCTCTGCAATTGTGCATTACCTGACCGTTCCACAGCTCTGCAAAGACTTTGCATGTGTTAATTTGGACTCAGTAATCACTTAAAAAATCAAGCCACCAAAGACATTAAAGATGTTTGGTCATTATGAGTGTGCTGAAGTTACTGTTAACAGTTTTATCCAAGCACTTTGGTGAATAAAGAAAAGTTATTAAACAATGCCACTCATTTTTAGGGAAAATACATTTCTAAAGAATCTGTGTGTTGGGAGGTTTGTATATGGGGGTTGTATTGTCTTGCTACAGTTCACTTGTTCTTATAACTAGCAAGCCTCCTAGATCTTAACTGCACATTGCATCAGGGTGGCAGCAGCAAGCCAAGAGCCAGTAACAGTAAGTCAAGCCATTTATCTATCTTTCAAGCCCATATTTTTTGTTACTGAGTATTCAAAAAAAAATTTTCTGCTGAATTTAAGCCAGGTGCTTTCTCAACACACAGCAAACTTCTTGAGAGTACAGTGAACCATTTCATTTATTGAAAAGCCGCTGTTTAAGTAATGTGATCCATATGAAAGCACACATGCATATTTTACAACTTAGCACAGTTTTCAAATATAACCCATACCTTCACTGAAGAAATTTTGGGTTGTCAGTTAAATATGAAGCCACATGTTTACAAATACAGGATGTTAGAAGCAATCTGTAGAAAATCACAGGCTTCCTGTTAAGCAGCACAGTCATTTTCTACAGTCCAAAAATGAGGTTCTTACATAATTTTCTTTAGACAAACACCTGGTCACTTGTTATAAATCTTGAGGTGCCATCTGCTGACATCTTGAGGTGATCCAGAATGGACTTAGATCAGCTCTGCTTAAGAGCAATATGTGAACCCCATGTGCCAGAATCCCTGCAGAGAAACCTGTGACTGACTTAGTGCTGAAGATGGGTTCTGCTTCCCAGCCTGGAAGATGAGCACAACCTCCCCAACACCAGTTCCTCGTATTCCAGGGATGTAAGGGAAGCTAGGGCCTTCCAACCATTAAGCCTTTGCTTCTGTATCATCTTTAGCCTCCTGCAGCTCCTACTGGCCTTCCAGCTGGAGCTGAAATAAGACTCTCTTCAAGAAAAAGATTGCTGTCCTCGACCGCATTACTACTTTCTGACTAAAGCTCTCCCTGTTGCAATTCCCATATTCTGGCATGGGTCAAATGCCATGTCAGTGGGGGCCACGATGAAGGCAGTACATAGGAGAAAAACAAGGGATGGGTAATTGAGGGCAACCAAATGCTCCTTTCATGTGGCTTGGCAGGGTCTATGCACACAGGGATGCCCACGTCTTGGTGTGGAGAGCAGGCCTGAGTAAAGACACTGTCATTACACCTCAAGCAAGCAAACATGGGATGGGCAACGCAGATGCCAACCAAGAGCTCAAGGGACACCGACCTTCACTTGAATCGCCAACAGCAAAGTCTCGGGGAATGCAAGGTCTTCCCAGCAGGCCCTTGGGTGAGGAACAGGAATAGGAGCGTGACCGAATTCCAGACAATAAGCATTCCTAGAAAAACACATGGCAAACAAAAACTGGATGCTTTCTCAAATTCAGCAGCAAAAGCTCCCAAACTAATCAGTGACAGAATTACTGAATGACAAAGCACTAACCACACATGTTTATCTTGGCTCCATGAAGGTTTTAAATTTAATTAAGATATCTAAACACTTTGTTTCACTTTGAATTCTTAGAAAAGCTGTAATATTTCACCATGAGAAATCTTTGTGTGTTACAAGAAAGAACTTGGGGGTACAGGTTAGAAAGCCTTCTCCAATTTGCTGGCAGGCACCATCCAAACAGTGCTGTTTGCTGTTTTATCTGATGGCCACGCTCTCTGTCCTGCTTTTGCAATGGAAGCCATTAATCTTAGTGCTTTAGTACCAGAAGAATATTTTGTGTAGACCAACACCCTATTTCAGTAATTAAACATATCAGAGTTTACAAAGTAAGTTCTGTAAACTGCTGGCTTTTTTGTGTAAGTAACTTTTACTTTACAGTAATATTTATCATAAAAAGTAAAAAATTCTCTTTTCCTTCTGCATTTTTCTGATCATCCTTGAAAAGGCTATCAGCTTTCCAAATATGTTACTGATATGGCTGGAAAAGAATCCTCCTCATTTTTGATAGATCTTTTTACATTTGCATAGAGAGAAATGCGAGTATCTAAACCACATGCAATATTATTTGTAAAAGCAGCCTAAAAGAATTCAGTGTTTGTGCTGAGCTCTTTTTCTCTCTCCTAGTAATCCTTTGCTAAAGGTCAAATGAAGCTCTACAGAAGCAAGAAGTCTGCTCAATAAAATACATACAATTCCTATTAATAAAAAAATAGCTCTGTGCATATGTTCAAATTTCCCGGAAAAAGCACCAGGGTTCAATAAAAATGAACACAGCTGGGATATTTTGGTGGCAGAGATTTGCACCTGTCATTCTGCAAATCCTAATGAGTCTTCCTGCATGTGGCAATTATTTTTTTAAAAGGACAATAGACTGGTTTTATTCTTACAAAGCTGTTATTCTTTCACATAACTACAGCTGGTTAAACATTTCCTGATTAAATACATTTTGGTTAGAAAAAGCTTATTCACCAGACCTGTTCTGAACTTTGAAATGTTTCTGATTAATTATGTTTTTTTCAAAGACAAAGTAAAATTCTGAAGGAGACTTCCCTGCACTGTTGCCAAGCAGCTACATCCAAGGAGTTCCTGCACATCCTGATCTCAGAACTGAATAACATCTAGGACTTCCCGCTGGGAACTGATTTTAACTATTCAGATTCAAATGCTTGAATATGTTTCCAGTGATTTACTTGAGAGGAAAAGAACTCAAACCAAAATAATATTAAGTACCTTGGGCTGCAGACTGGTAGCTAAGGAAAGGGATTCTGCCCGGTTGATGGTAAAATCAGTGCTTGTCTCAGAAGAAACTATTTCCTCTCTGTGAGAAGCCGTCGCCTCTGAAGAGCTGAGGGGAAGGTAGTGAACGAGGGATCTGTCTGAAACGCTTTCTGCTCTGTTGTCTACTTCAAGGTCATCAAGACTAGAACTGAAGCAGATAACAAATTATTTATTTCCCACACAATTATTATCAATCTTAATGCAACAAACAAAGATGATTGTATACAACAGCCAAAGATAATTGTATACAACAGCCAAAACCACCAAACTTCTACCGTGCAGATGTTTGCACCTTCCATAATCATGCAGATTCCCAGTAGAGAGCTACTTGGAAGGATGCTGATAAGACTGATGTTAGATATCTACCTTAAAATGAGATGTTTTGTTCCACACAAGTACCTGCATAAGTATACATGGAGTATAAGGAGAAGTGAGATAACTAGCTTAGATTTTGATAAGCACAATATAAGAATATATGCAAAGATCTGTATGTGCATGTGTATTTTAAGGATATAATGTGCCAATTCACAGATAACTTTTTTAACATGTGTGAATTGATGGAAGATGGAGGGAAAAAAAGCATTAACACGGTGAGATGGGGGATTGCCAGAGCCAATTTATGACATGAATTTCAAAACACCTGAATTTTAAAATATAGTGGAACACAAGGAGATTGAAAACACTCTAGCTAAGTCAGTACTTCAAACATTTAGAGACTACTGACATTCCTGAGCAGTCTCAGAGCCAGGGTTCTTGAGCAGAAAAGTGCAATCAAGTTTCCCAGCATTATCACACTACAAGGGGTTTTCCACGACACATCCTGTTAGCTCTATGGGCAAGTTCATGGTCTCCTAATTAGCGTGACTGGAACAAACAGTTGACTGCCTGCAGCAGTAATCCAGCCTTAAAGTATAAAACTTTAAATTATGTGTGGTATTTCTAAGTAGCCAAAGAGTCCACCAGGAATATTAGACAATAACTCCTTTTCACAACACTAAAATTCACTTTGTTAAAGAATAATTTTATCAGTACTGTCCAAAACAACTTCCTTATTACACTTCTGGAGATCATCTTTCGCAATGTTTTCTACTAATATCCATGTGACTTCTCAGAAATGCCAGTTAATGTCACATTTTAAAACTGGAAAAGTAATATATGTCTTTTTCCTTTAGTAGAAAATAAACATAAATAATGCCCTACACATTGAAACTCTCCATCATTACTTACTGTGGGTACCTTAGCATGGAAATTTCCATCATGGATAAAAATGGTATAAAGATCTACCAGTTAACTTGCTTCATACCCTCAGATCCTCAAAGGAAAGTACCACCAGAAAAAATAGTCTTATTTTATGTGTAATATGTAGTATTTGAATCATTTACAGTTGAAATATTAAGGTCAATCACTTAATCTCTGAAAACTCATATAAGCCCCAAAAGTTCATATACAGGTATTTAACCTATGTCTTAATAATTGTGGGAATATCCAAATATATATAGGAGAAAAAATATTTATAACATAAGAGCATTTTTTTTATAATAGCCCAAAACCATATCAATATAACTAGAAAAAAACAAAAAGGTTGAGAAGAGAATAACTCATTGCCAATGTGGCAGTCATTGTCCTATCTGAGGTAAGACATTTCTCCTACGAGGATTATACAGTTCTCCAGGAAATTTTATATATATATATATATATATATAAACCACAGTAATTGACAACCACACATTAACCACAGTAATTGGCAATGACAGCAGCCACTAATGCTCCCTTGCCACTTGTTTCTATGGACAGTGTCCTTACTGAACTAGTCCAGATGCTCTTTACAAGTAGGAGACTCAATTTCCTCAGACTAACACTTTCTGGTGAAGAAGAGGGACATGTGAGTTCAAGGCCTCTCTTGTCCAGAATCCTCAGACAACTGCCTATGCTGGCAGCACAGCAGTATGGGCAGAATAGCAGAAAACAGCCTAAACCTATCAGAAATGTGAGCCTGTATACTGTATATTGCTGTCTTTTGAAGTTAAAAGATAATAATAATAATAATAATAATAATAATAATCATCTTTAGCAATCAGGAATCGGTTCTTCCTTTCACAGCCCAGTGCCAAGGATGGAAAGATTCCCATTGATTTCAAAAAATTCTGGACCACTCCCTTAATGGGAAATACAACTGAGAAAGCAAGGGGAAAAATGTGGTTTCTGACAAAAATGCCATGAGGAAGAACACAGTGAACAGCTGTCTGAGTCTTCTTTTCCAAAAATACATATAAGAGAGGTATAAAAGCATACATTTGGGTTAAAAATCACTGCTATTTGAAGGACGTATGTGAAGAAAGATTTTTACAAGTACTTTATAAAAACAAATCATTAGATTGACACAATTTTCATGTCAGTAATTGAAACCAGTAATTTTACCTCTGTAAAAATCATTATTCCAGGTTCTGCCTTATTTTTTTGAAATAAAAGATCATTATAAATAATCTTAATCCCGGTCACATGATCAATACATTGCATACCTTCTTATCTTCACATCAGCATGAAGCTGGCCCCGTTCCTTAATAAATCCGTGAGTCTTGACTGGTAGGTAAGAATCTGCCCTGTGTCTCAGATCTGCATTATCTCCATTTTTCACCGACAATTGACTTCTTTCATTTGGATCATATATACATTGGTCATTTTCCTCAAGGGAGGGAGATGAAGAGCTCTTGGCCATCGGCGTTGAGTTGGTGGGATTCAGACACGTCTCATTGCTGACACTGTCTCCATGAATGTAGTCACTCTTCAAATCTCCAACCTGCAGCGGGTAAGTGAATGGTGGTAGATGACAGCAAAAACATGTATTGTCAGAGAACAAGGACTGTTCCAAAGATTATAGTTTGCCACCTTTTATGGTCATATGTTTTCAACATTTTTTTTAATCCTACTACTTTTTGGTGAACATAAACTGGAGACAAGTTATATGGCTAAGACATTCTTGCTCTTTTCCAGAATTATAGTAGCAATGAGTTAGTATGCGGAGTGAATGGGCTTCTCACTCACATTTGTGCCTTTTTATTAAATGTATCATGTCATATATTTATAGTTCATATTAAAAAAACCTTCCCTTTGAATAAGGCAAACAATATGCACAATACGTTAGTGTGGGCATAAGTAGGGGGAAATTAAAATGTTGTCTAATTTCATTTAGAAGAGACAGTCTGCATATCACGCACATTTTTACTGTACATAACCTGGAACAGAAGGTCTGTAGGGGAGGAAGGGAAAGGAATTCTTCCTTATGCCTTTAAGCAAATCTTTTACAGAAAGAAGGGATTGGCATTAACAATTATGTTTACTCATATTTGGTATGGAGATCCTGCTTGGTAATGATTAATTCTTTGTGAAAATGAGGTTAAACTCTCCTGCCAGCTCTGCAAAAAATATTAATGTACGGTTTATTGGCAGTCTTCTAGTTAGAAGCTGCTGTCATCTAATTAGATACTAAACAGTACAGGAAAAGTCACATGGCCAAAGCCCACTGGAAGCATTCAACCTCAAGAGAGCACCCGTGCAAGCAAGAAAAAGGGCAGCACTGCAAGCGTTTCCAAAGCCCTGCTATTTCACACTGCTGACTTTCTCCTCTGCTCGGGGTGCATTTGCTCGGGGAAAAAAAAAGACTGTAGAGTTTTCTTAAAGTTCTTTCTATGGGCTAGACAGAGTAACCTATATCGTTATTTGAATCTATTAAAATGGATTTCACAGATCAGTTACAAAAAAAAAAAAAAAGAACAGCTGAAAGTAGAAAGTATTCCTGTTTTTACTCTTTTTACTTTAGAACTTTAATAATGGCCCACACACCATTGCTCGCAGAGCCAGAAGATTCTACTATCACTCAAGTTATTTTAACAAAAGACAATGAAAAAATACATCCCAAATATTCAAACATAAACTTACTTGGTCTACGACCATGCAGTTTGTATATACTTCATCATTTCCATCCAGCATGGTAGAAAGCCTGGCTGCTGAAAAGAATGTAGGTGGAGTTTTGAATTTCTTGAGAACATCAAAGGTAGAATGACGTTGTTCTAGAAAAAAAAAAAATGCAGAAAACACAATTATTTTTCATACTGTTTTTATTTATACATATATATATAATCTAGAGATAGACACACACACACACACATACATATATATATATAAAATATACATACACACATATATAAAAACACATACACAGCGCCTAATAAAAACCATAAAGTTTAACCATGAAGTATCCAAATTTAAGATGACAATTTGGTAGTATCTGGCTACTCAGAAACCTGGAAATTTCCTAAATTGCCTAATATTTCCCATGTGTTTCTAGAAGCCAGCAGGTGGCTACTCTCCAAAAGGTACATCACAAGGACACATACAACATAAACATGTTTTCTTTAGCTTGGCTAGGAATGTTTTCTATTTCCCCACTGTGCTCTGTAAAGATTTGTAGCTGCTGAGGCACAGCTGTGCTAAACAGGATTAAAACTTAGAGGCTGATATGAACTACTCATGATTATGGTCTATAAGTAATAAATATTTAATTTTGAATACCTTTTGTGAACAGAATACAGTTCAACCGTAGTCAAGTAATCTACTTCCTAAAACATTATCTCACTTGGCAGACTTATAATAAAATATTAATTTCAACATTATTGTTGTTTTTGGTTTTAAAAACACTTTCTGCATTAGTCTTTTACTGCACTGCTACTAGTGAAGCAGAGAATTCTTTTAAAACAAAACAAGGGACAGCAAAAACTGAAAGGTATAGAAATAAAATGCTACTCCCATACAAACAATGTCATATAGTGCCACTGTAGGGTTGCAAAAATCAATTAAGATTTGACCTATGACCAGATTGCTATGGATAAAGGCTACATCTGGCCTGTTTTTTATTCTGAAATGATAAATTATCTGTTTCAACAACAACCACTACAAAAGCTCGAGAGTTAGTTTTCAATAGGGCCTTCCTGACTCCAGATATCAGTGAGAGTTGCATGGGCTCACTGCACCTGACGGCTCTGTCTAGCAGAAAAGCTAGCTGAGTGAAATACTGTTGGTCTGTCCTGCAGAGACACTTCTCAAAGCTGCTTATGGGCATGAAGGGTGTGCCCCAATCCATCACTTGAGTTGGGAGTTAAGGCCACAATATCTTCTGACTGTAGAACTAAAAAGCTGTTAAGGAGCAAAATTTTATAATTTGGAAACCAATCCTGTTCTAGACTATGTGGAAATAGGCAGCTATATAAAAAAAAAAAAAAAAAAAAAAAAAAAAAAGAACATAATGAGTGTATTTTTCTTTATTTTAAAGTACTCTAAGTCAAGTATTTCCATTGGAAGCGAACTGAGATACACTAGCATAAAAAAAGATGCAATACAGAGGAATATCAGACCCAGTAAAACACTCCAGTTCAACATGTTCTATAAACTGAAATCCAGATATTCTATTACTGAAAATCATGCAATAATTTCTTCTTTATTTATACCAATACAATTTTTTTTCTGCAGTGTTGGAAAGGAAAAGATACCACCAAAGACGTTCACTCCTCAAGCTACATTCATACTACAAGACAAGCGCAGCTGAAGGTGCCCATGGCCATCAGATTGCAAGAAATGATAGTGCGAAGAAACAACACTGAATAGCAACTACACCTGCCAAGATCTGGTGCATGTATTTCTTTAAAAAAACTTCTGGATCATGGCCAAAATTGCAATGTTATACTATATTTTTTATTTAATTTTATGATGTTATCTCATAAAGCCTATGAAAAAAGCCCTATACTCATAGAAAAGTGGAAATTTCCATTTAGAAATGATACACAATGAATTATTTCATTTCTAATCTTGACAAGCCTTGTGGGCTCTCATACTACTAAAAACCTGCATGACTTTTAACATGATTGTAGTGAGTATGCCGTCTTGCAAAATGCTAAAGCTACAAATCACTCCTTATGCTTGTCTAGATCTTGAAGCCTCTTTATAAAAATCGTATAAGCCACTGTTTTCTACAGCAGTTCATCAGGCATTGGCAGCTAAAAATCACATGGGGAAAAGTGATTTGGTAAAACAGGTGGTGTTTTTTTGTAGCAATCAATGTTTTACAAGTGCTGGTCTTCCACCAACAGTCAGGAAGAATATAAATCCAGGCTCTACATTGCTCCTCATATACTTACTGCCTTCATAGCATGATCTCCTTGCAGTATGCAAACATGCTGGGTATAATCATCAAGGACAATAATCTGCTTCACAGCCGGGCTGAGCAAGGTTTAGCATGTACCCCTGAGAAACAGGGCCTATGAATCACAGTGCAAATTGGAGCTGCCTCCCTCTGATCCAGCTTCCTGACCAAGGCACCTGTCCCCAGCACTAGAGTCTCTACAGTGAGATAAGGGACTGGGCTATGACTTGCATAGTCTGAGCCAAAACCAACAGCAACCATCCTATGGTATTTATTTTTATGCATATAGCAGCTTCTAAAACCATATTTTACATGATGTTAAAACTTTATAAAGGAGGAACAACCTGATACAAACTTCCAAAGGCAGCTGTTGGGAAGAAAACATTACATCCAAATAATGTCATTAGCCTCAGCACTTTCAATTGCTGAATATTTATCCATAATCTCCATCACTGGTAAATACAACCTATTTTTTTGCAGTGTTCCAGTCAGTTTGTTGTTCAAGGTGAAATCTCTAGGTATTTGTGAGGGCTTTGCATGAGAAGACAAAAGCCAGGAAGGTTCCTTGGGGATGAGTGATGCCATGGGCCGCCCCCACTCCCCCAGGAACGGGGCTGCTTCTCCGGTCTCGCCACAGGTTTCACACACGTGCAAAGGGTCAAGCTGCCTCGTATTTTGTAATAAGAAAAGTATTTCAAGACTGTGATGAATGCAGGGGAGCGCATTATTAATTACACATTGACTGTGCTAGTAACTTATTTCTACTGCAAAGGCCAGCAGAGTTTAAAAAGTGACAAAACTGTAGCAAATATTTATGTTATGCCCTGAATGCCTGTGCCCCCTCCAGGCCTGCCAGGCAAGCGGATCCAAGGCATCCTGCTCCTGCAGCACCAGGAGCAGTACTTTTCCCAGTTTAATATGGGAGCAGAGTGTGATTCTGTGCAGCAGGTGCCAATGGCGATAACCAGCGAGTCTTTTCTACTCTTAGGTTACATCGTCCTCTTTTGGGCCCTGGGCACCCAGACAGAGGGTCTGTCTGAGTCTCTTCCTCCCCATCAACACCCAGCAAGGCAAACAGGCACCTCCTGCGACAGAGAAGGTGTCCTGAACCATTTCATCTGCCTGAAAGGTGTTGGTACCAAACTGCACAGTGTTAACTGGGAAAAACATTGATGTAGACACAACACAGACACAATCACTCAACTTTCTGGTACTGAAATACACGGCAAGCACAGCTCACCAACCTGCTCCTACCGCGAAAGCTGAAGGATCTCAGGCTCTACACCACACCAGGGCAACAGAAAAATCAAAAAAAAAGGGCATGTCTCCTTTAAAGGAGTGTATGAGTCTCTGGCCTATGCCTGGTAAACAGGCAGAAAAGATGTACGTTATTTAAACATAGATTAAAAAAAAAAAAAAAAAAGACACCGGGCTGGGAAGGAGAATCTCCAAACATGGATAAAAGAGCTTGACCAATGAATATGAGGCACAAACTCTCTGCATCTTCTGTCATCAAAGCTGCACAGTTGTTCATCTTACCAAACAAAAAAAGCTTATAACAACACTTCAAAAAACACAAGATCATCTTCACAGTAATTTAAAACATGCTTTATGCTGGCATAACAAAACATAAAGCCTCGAGTGACCCATTTTGAAAAACAACAACAACACTGACGTTTTTCCACAAAAATTGAAACTTGTATCATTTTATGAGAGGGCACAGAGTAAAAGGGAAGTGAAAATACATTAGTGTGACCAAACTAAGAGCCCGGAAAGAAATTATAAATTCCTTTGTCCAGCTACAATGAATAGTTTTCAGACAGCTCATCACAATTACCCCCCGCAATCTGAACAGGGGTTAATGTATAACTGGAAGTAAGCACCCAGCTATGAAGAAAAGAAACAAGACAACTAAACACATGGGTCACATAGGAGCACTGAAATGCCGCTCTGAATCCACAGACTGTCATCTGCATTTGGGAAAGAATTCCACAAGTTCCTGGCAAGGCACTGACCAAAGTGTCATACACTTCTATAGATGTGACCAGCGTGACCAGTCTCAGCAGCACATCTGCACTATCACCTCATGAGTCTTACCCTCCATTCACTCAGTGCAACTACTCGTGACATTAAAATTCTCAATATATTTTGTGTAAATTTATGTACACAAATACACAAGAACATCACTATGCTGTGAGTGAAGTGAGGAAAGCCTTAAAATGCTGTTGTTATAAAGCCCAACACTTAACTGTCCTCAGTTTTTAGAGTGGAAACCAAATCACCGGGTTTCCTATGTATGGCGAGAATCAGGCACTTAGATGCTGGACATCATATCCAAGGTGTTTAAAATGTGCTCCTAAAGTTGCCATTAGGAAACACCAAGGAGAAGGGCAGTTCTTCAACATCACCTTGGTCTTGGTCATTTAAACCTAGTCTGCAAAGAGGTTCCTGAAGCAGACAATTTAGCTGTTTCCAAATAATAATATACAAAGAAAAATAAGTCAGTGTCTCTTTTTATACCAAGCACAAGATACAAAGCACTTGCCCACGATATGGGATGCTTGATTTCAATTTCCACCTCTGCCTGAAAGGCTTCAGAGGGCAAGCCTTGCCTACCAGGACAGCACAACAGACTTGCCAAAAAGACGCTTTCAGAAGCCATGAGGTTGTTATGGCCTCCAAAAAAAGTCTCTAAGAGTTGTTTGTTGGTTTTGAGAAAGAAAGACTTTGAGCCCAAAGACTATAAATATAGCTGAGGGGAAAGGAGAACAGAGATGTCTCCTGGCCATTTTGCATTAAAAACAAAATACATACCCTGAGGGGTTTTACAGCACGGATCAACACTTGGACCTCTCTCCAGTCCAATCACCGAGA